AGAGAGAGGGGCACGGTCAGAGATAGAGAGGGAAATGGAACGGCTGGACGGCCGGGCGAGGCGACGGATCCGCGCCGGAACAGTGACGGCGGCGGCGGAGCTCCTCCGGCTCAAGGCCTCTCACGGCCAAACCGAGAGAGAGAGAGAGAGAGAAAGGGGAGGGAAGGGGGCTTGCCGGTTGTTTGTGGTGGAACACGGCGGCGACAGCAAAGACCGGGAGGCGGCGACGGCGACGCGGGCCGGCGGCGAGCCGGCGAACAGCATGGGCGGCCTGGGCGCGAAAGGCAGCTAGCGACGAGGCTCTGCCAGCTGCTGCGCGCGAGGGAGGAGAAGGCGACGGGCCGGGGCGGCGGCCAAGCGGAGGGCGCGACGGCGGCCGAGCTTGCCGGCGGCGGCGACCGGTGGAGCGGGCGGCGATTGAGCCGAGCTCGTGCGCTCGGGAGGGGAGGAAGCAGCTGTCGCCGAGCGGAGCCGCTGTGGGCGGCGCGGCGGCGCGACGCCAGGCGAGGAGGACGGGCGGCGCGGCGGCCGGTAGGGGTGGCGTCGAAGCGGAGCCGGATGGGCGAGTCGAAGCAAAGCCCTATGAGCAGAAAGCAGAACGAAGCGTAACCAAAGTAGTTCGGGGAAGGAAGAAGGAAGAAGAAGAAGAGAAAGAAAGAAGAAAAGAAAAAGAAAGAAGGAAAAGAAACGAAGAGAGAGAGAGAGAGAGCAGGTGGGAGTGGGTGAGCTGAGGGGACGTGGGCAGGGGGAGACGTGCGCGGAGAGGACATGAGCGGCAGAGGACAGAGAGAGAGAGAAAGAGAGAGAGAGAGAGAGAGAGAGTAAAAGAAAATATTTGAACATTCAGGCTCCGTTCGTTTGGCGGAAAATATTCTCCTTTTGGAAAATATTTTCCCGGAAGTCATTTTCCTGGAAAATGTTTTCCCGGAACATAATTTTCCGGTGTTCGGCGACCAATATGAAAAAGTTTCGGAAAATATTTTTCGCCGGGCGGCGGTGGCCGGCGACCGGCGGCGGGCCGGCGGCCGGCGATCGGCGGGCGGCCGGCGGCGGGGCCGGCGACCGGCCATGGCGGCGGCGGCCGGGACCGGCGGGGCGGCGGCGGCGGCGGCGGGCGACCGCGGCGGCGGCGACCGGGCGGCAGCGGCGACCGGGCGGCGACGGCGCGGCGGCGGGCAACCGGCGACGGCGGCCGGCGGCGGCGGCAGCCTGCAGAACAATGGCCGGGCGGCGGCAGGCGGCGGCGGCGGCCACGACGGCGGCAGCGGCGGCGCCGGCGACCGGCGGCGCGGCGGTCGGCGACCGGAGGCGATGGTGGCCGGCGACCTTAGTAAAGAAGAAGAAGAAGAAGCTCCGGAAAATGATTTCCGCTTTTGAAGAAGCGGAAGTCATTTTCCATAGACTTAGGCTATTTTGTGAAGGGGGGAAGGAAAATATTTTTCCACGGAAAACGTTTTCCGCCCCCCGAACACCGGAAAACCCGGAAAATATTTTCCGGAAGAATATTTTCCGCCAAACGAACGGAGTCTCAAATATTAATCGCGATCCGATGGCCCAAATTAAAAACCGAAAGTGGTCTACGGGTCCAAAATAAACCTCGCACATAAAAAGGGACAAAGGCCAAATTAATTAGACCAAATCATAACGAGGGAGGTCTACTAGTCCAAATTCGCACGTGGTCAAAAACTCCCATTTTTCCATCATTCCTGACAATCTCAACGTTGGCTACCATAATATTGACACCGTCCAATTTATTTTGTCCCGAAACTCCCGGAAATCGACTGCCAATTTCGGGATCCAAATAACGGCCAAATTTGATCGAGTGCGATTCTAGCGAAATCTCTAATTTAAAATGATAACCGGGAGTGATCAGTTCCCGGGCGAGATTTTACTATAAGCACGCTGACAATTTACGCGTTTTATAAATCCCAAAAAATGGGCCGAAATTCGGGATGTTACATAGTAGATACTAGATATGGAGCCCTCGACTTTGGAGCTGGCGGGCTTGTCATTGTAGCCCACTAAGATGCAAGCAATCAGAAAATCTCTCGACCATGATCAAGCCAAATACCTCATGACCAGGGTCTTCAATATTCGAAAGTTTTCTAGCACGAGCCATTCGAGTATCATGGAAGACTTGTGACCAATTTGCCACTATACTACTTCCATCATGGTGGTTGAGCATGTGTGTTTGGTTACCCTTTTGTGATTTTCTTGGTATTTTACTATTTTATTGATTCGGTTTATTCTTATCAAATCTTATTATAGGCCAACTAAATCTCAATATTAGGGCATAGAAATATCCCCTAAACTTATCCAGTATTTTGCCAAAAAAGAAATAAGATATCTTATTACATGCAATCACATGCAATATTAGTGAACTTTTGCTCTTCCTTCCCAAGTGCACATAATCCCTTAATGGAACTACGTAAATTACTATGTCGTGTTTCTTACTTTTACAATTATACTTTATGTTTGTTACTGACTCCTTAATAGAAAATTGTCATTGATATGTTATGTATATTATCTCTCTTATTTCTCGCTTGCATGTCTTCTGAGATTTTTGTTGGTATAAGAACCCAAAAATGAGAAAATTGGAAGCCATTTTTAAGCATTAAGCAGTTTAGGAGTTGTTTACACCAAAAATAGTCAAGTCGTCGACATAGACAAGTACGTGGCATAAGCGTGAACAGTCACGTGAACATTGTTACACAAGTGGCATATTGTCAATGACCATGGAAACTAACAATTGTTGTTGATATACATCCGTAGTACGTATTATAGACGACGACAAATAGTTAGTTGCTATCGATATCGATAGGCAAATAGTAAATCAAGCAAGTCCTTTGAAAGTATAAAAAACATAGAAGTATGGGCACCGGTCTAAACAAAGCAATTAGGATTACAGAGACACCGATAGACGTTTACTTAAAGAACATCGAAATGCAAGTACAAAGTTCAAAATTAGCAAGGCAGTTGAGATAGAGGAGAAATGAGATGACACTTTCAGAGGGATCAGTTTCTACTTGAAGATAGATTCATGAAAAAGTCAATAACTGTCGAAGATAATATCGTGAGGCAGTTATCATACTGTATGACAAAAGCAACGGCTTAAAAGAAGAAAGGTAGCATCATGAAGGCATGGACATCGAACTTTCGGAAATGGAGGAACGTGAAAGCCATCTATAGAAACCGCTCAAGGAAATGCAATTGTTGGGAACTGTCGGAAGGTGGTTATTACTAGATCATTATAAATACCACTAGACATCCAATGAGAGCCCCCGCACAAATTAAACAAATTTATTATCTTTCAATACTTTACTTTACTGCACTGCACTTTATTTTCATTACTGTAGCTTTTCGATTCGCGCCGTCGATTAAATTCCGGCATGTAATCTCTATCCTCGCTATTGTGTCTCGATTAAATTCGGGCATAGTGTCTTCATTTATGTTCTTAGGCTGTGTCATCAATTCAATTCTAGCATAGTTTGTTTACATTTGGTTACGTTCTCGTGTCTGTGTTTTCCAAGTTGTGCTTCAATTGAATTCCGGCACAATTTACGTTTGTATAGTCACGTTCTGTATAAAACTTTCCAATTCCTTCAGTTGCCTGGATATTTTCTGTCCAAAGTCAGTGCAGGACCCTAGTCTCCTTTAACTAAAAGCCAAAAAACAACTTTCGATGAAAGATATTTCGTTGCGAAAGAATTTGGGCGAAACATGAGTGCTTTCAAAACTTCTAATGTGGAGACAAGGTATGTTCGTTTCACCTTTCACGACTCGTTTAGGAATAACCAATTCATTGGGATTAGCCAAAGTTGATTAAGATTCAATACCAAAGTATCTCTCGGCCCTCGCAAGACATGACATTGGGTTTGATTCCGCAACTTTCTTGGTGCCACCCCAAGGTCTATTACATTGATGAATATCGATTGCGATTGCAGCGCCATATCATTACCTGATGAGATTAGTCTTTATTTCATAAGAACTTCTACCAATTTTGAGTTTAAAATTAAACGTACATTTGCAAAGGTATATGTGGCGCTTGAAGAGAAAGTATGAAACAAACAATCAAACAAAAGATACACAGCAAGAAATAAATATGCAGAGAAAGTATGACGTTTTATTCAGTCAATTGCGCGTATATACGCGGAGAGAGATCCAAGAGATGTCCTAGTGCAATTAAGCACATATCCAATCGCTCAAATCAGTCAAAGCTCGAATGTATTTCCCAAGTTATTGAGTACACCCGACAACGCTCACAAAAATTGACCAATGAGATATCATTTGTTTGTCGCGCTTCTAGGCAACCCTCGCCTAGCCCTATCCAGGCATCACTAGTGGCCGGCCATTGGCAAAAAAGGGGAGAGAAAAACAAAAAAAGAAAAAAAAATTTGGAAATTTTTTTAAAATATTATCTACGCAAGCGCTGGTACGCCACATAAGACGGCCAGCGCTGATTGGACTACTACGTCAATATTTTCCGGTTAAAATTGGTCAAATAGACTCAATTGACAAAACGTGAAAATGTTTAGGACTGAATTGTCACAATTGAAAGGTTATAACTGAATTGGCACAAATGCAATAAGTTCATGACTTTTTTGGTAATTTTTCCCAAAAACTTATGTACGCACAACCACGAATAAGATCTCGAAACCATTTCATTCCCAACAGGGATTTCTCATATTTTTCTTGTAGTATTTTTTCTTTTGCCTTCTTCCTCATCAAAGCAATAGAAGAATTTCCATTCCATTCCATTCGTTCAATCGGTATTAATTAATGGGATAGAGACATACATGGATTGCTACGACTATTGGAAGTATCATATTTAGTTTAGGATTCCAAATGATAATCGCTGCCAATAAGTAGCTAGCTATTTCAGCTTGTAGTCACTCGAATTTTCCTTATTCCTTTTTTTATTTCTCATCAAAACTTATGGGATCTTTTTCTACAATCGTACCTAATCTTAACATGATGCTTGAGACTTGGGAACCCTAGCATTATACAACGACATTTGGCTATCATTGAGGAGAGGGGTTTTATCTTTTTTTGGCTTCACATCAAAACAAGGGAGAGAAGATTAACCCCTCTTGAAACTCAACGACGTGATCGAAATCATTCATTAACAAAATGCCAATATTTAGATTCTACATTCTATTCTACACCTAAATGTTTTCATGCAAGAGAACATATATAGAGGGATTTTACAATCTGACAAATGAAGTCCCCATTTCTATGTAAGAGAGTTTCATAAGACAGTGCTAATAAAAAAGTTACTGCTAATCTCTCGACCACTCTGAATGTCCGAGGTCGAGGCGCAGCAGCTATCTACTTATGTAGCCCTTCAAGAACATAAGTAGATCTCGTAATCTTGCTCAAATGAGTGTTCCAAAGCAGCGCTCTACTTGCCCATCCAAATTCCTCTTTCTGCAAACAAAATGATGGCCAGAATCGGAAGAAAATTGTGAAAATTACACACTCAAACGCACAACCATCATGAAGATCAAAGATATCTGGTTACAATTTACAAGCTACAAGTTTTCCTTGAGAGAAAAGAAAGTCTCCTTTGTGCGTGCGAGAGAGAGGAATTCGCATGCTTATATCTATAAACATAGGTTTTTTATTGAAGGAGAACTAGGAAAAGAAACTGCTAGAGCTAAATTTTCTAGCTTCCCATGTACACAGCAAGTATCAAAGATTAAAAAAGACATGTGATCTCCCAATGGATTGTTACAATGTTCGGTGCGCAAAACGTCTAGGTCTATAGTGGTCCGAAACTCAGATTCAAGGACAAGGGATTACCTGAAGAATCGTCGGCTGAGAAGAGATGGTCCCGGTGTCACCGCCACAATGATCGCTCTCACCATTTCTTGCTCTATCGCCTCGGAAAGGTTTGGCCGAGCCAGTGGAGCTGATAAAACTGCCCATCATCTGAGCAATTGAAGAGGCTCCTTGTTCACGGGCCAGTGGGATGCTCCAATTTGTAGCTGTTGTGGACGGGGCATAGCGCTTCTCATTACATCTTTGATAAATAAGGAAATGTCTTACCTTTTCATAAAAAGAGATGAGGTCTAGATCATGCCCAGAAATTGACTTATTTGGGCCCCAGACGATCAACAACGCGAACTGCTGCTTCTCGAGTCCGAGATATCCACCCAAATCACTATGGACGCATCTGCCCAACGACACGTCCGAAGGTATCGATGGTGGCTTCAACTGTGTCTTTAGTAAATGCATGCAAGAATCAGCAGGGGGCTTGCTAGGAGTTGGTCTACCGGATTAATACAATTGCTTATTCCAAAGGATTTGGATTTTCTATATTATATTTATCCAAGATTGGATCTTTTCTAGTTAACCGCGTGAAGGCCTAACGTGTAGTGCGTTATACACGTATGAGTTGTATTAGAGAAATCTCGCATCGGAGAATTGACCTGCAACGGAGAATTTGTGTGATGTAGAACAGTTAACATATCCTAATTGACCCATAACTCATTGACTTCAGTTTTTTTTTAATGTGAATTTAACTGGATATGTTGACGGGTTCGGACTTGGGCTCCCTCTTGGCGATTTTCCCAAGTGAAGATATCGGGCTTTTGCTGCTCGCTCCCAACATATCCAATGTTTACTTGGAGTCCACAGTCCACCTTTGACGCACTGCTGTCTTATCACTGCCTCCACTGAACCTCCAAGTCAGCCGCAATCACACCACCAATGTCGCCTCTGAGTGTGGGCGCACGGTCATGACCTTTGCCTGAGGCAAGCGACCTCAAAATTGATTACATGTCTACCTATTTTCCGTGCTGTGATTGTGTGTGTACACATTATCATCTACAAAACGAGTGTTTCTCGGTAATTTTTTTTCTACTTGCACATGTAAATAGATTTGTATGCATGTAAAATTAGTAAACATGACGTGATACTTATAAACGTCCAGATGGGATCCCCAATCCACTCCTCTTGTATGTAATCACGTGCATTATCAATTATGATTACATTCTAAAAAACTACAATGAATGTCAATGCATAATTGGTTTGAGAAATCCAAAGCCAGTATTTTTGCAAGTATAATGTATTAAATTATTCAAATATTAAATTGCATCTTGATCTAATTTTTCTAGATCACCAATTTGGCTCTCCAAATATATTTTCACATTTTAGATTTCGTTTGTTTCATGGAAAATAAATGATTTAGAAAATATTTTTATAAAAATGATTGCTTGCATCACTTGAAATAATTAGTCAATAAAAAATATTTTGATTATCGACAATAATTTATATCTAAACACTTTTGTGGATGATGAAAATATTATTCTTTCATTCATTTTTAAAGGCAATACAAGCAATTATTTTAGGAAAATATTTTCCAAATCATTCATTTTTCATTAATCACAAATATCACTCCTCCTGTCGGGCAATTTTATGATTGATGAAGAACGCATTTTCGTGGATTGTAATGGATCATAATTTTTTGTATTCTCTGTAACTTTTATATAAAGATATCATGACACACAAAAATGTCAAAATTTTGCAATCGACATATAAGATTTGCTTTTTTTTTAAGGGTTAATATCACGAAAAATCCTAAACTGCTAGATCTGTGACAAATTTATCCCAAATGAATTTTTTGACGACAACAAAAAACCCTAAACCGGTACACCTATGATAAATTTTATCCAAACTAATTTTTTGACCATCAAAAATCCCAAACTGATACATTTGTTACAAATTTACCTTCCATTAAATTGGATTAATACCATGAAAAATCACAAACCGGTATACCAATGACAAACACGGGGTAAAACCCTCAACTCGTATACTCATGTGCCATCCAACTAAAAAATTTGATAGTAAAATTAAACGGAGGGTAAAATTGTCACAGATGTACCAATTTAGGGTTTTTTATGGTCAAAAAATTAGTTTGAAGAAAATTTATTACATGTGTACCAGTTTGGGGTTTTTTAGCAGCATTAACCCTTTTTTTACGGGTGGAGATCCATTTTTCCAAAATCATTAAAAACTGACTCCCGTTTCTATGGCCATCGTGACTCTCCGCAATGCGAAACATTAGACATATGATGATACCTATCCGTGACTCTCTGCAACATGAGACATCAGACGTACAACGATCCCTCTTTGTGTGGCCCGGCGTGATTTTGAAATGTGAAACATAAAAGACGTACGATGACATTTATTTGTGTGGCCGTCGTGACTCTCCGCAATGCGAAACATTAGACAAACGATGGTACCTATTCGTGACTCTCTGCAATGTGAGACGTCGGACGGTCGACGGTCCATATTCGTGTGGCCGGTCGCGATTCTGAAATGTGAAGCATAGAGACGTACGGCGATATTTATTTGTGTGGCCACCGTGACTTCGAAACGCGATATGTACATAGCCCTATCCATTTCACGTGGCGTGGCCTCGGATTCGTCCACATCAGCGCAGTTTACTCATGAAAGCACCCCTTTGATTGCACTGTGGAGGACAGCGTCCGGTCCAATTTGGCTGAGATGACAGAAGAAATCGAAATCTCCAGAGAGTTTTTTTCTTTGCCGTTCAGAAAACGCGAGGCGAGACGATCGGTGTCGGCAATATGTCTCTCTCTCCCTGCACGAGATATGCCACAGTTAGACAATGCAGCACAAGCCGTTCGGAATATTCGCTCCCGACATTAATCAATCTCGTGATTTCGTGGAAAACAGGTAACTCGTTTATCACCTGACTAACAACCTTAACAGTGAAATCTCCATTCATTTGTACACGGTAAGTAATGATAAACCATTCTCCATTTGAATTCGAAACAAAATTACCCGGTCACTCCCAATCGTGAATTGCATTTCTTACACCTATGTGAACTGGGACCAGATCCGTGAAAGGGACTAGTCGGCACAATTTGTCTTCCTGTATTAGGGTTCCGATCGTTATAAACATTCTCTTTATAATTATTCGGGTAAATAATTTTGACTTTTAAGTGCATCATGGGAGGCTAGGGCTTTAAGGGTATGTTTGGTTACTTTGGTTATTAAAATTAGAGATTATTCCAAATTTTGTGGCGCACTTCAAGCCAAAGAAGTTTGGATGCCAAATTTTTAGCGAAAAAAAGTTTGGATGCCAAATAACTTTCTCGAGATCTATGTTAGGATAAAATTATCAAGCTCTGTTAAAAAAATATATGAAACATAAAAAGGAATGGATGAACAAAGTTCCTTCTGGTTTAAAGAAAGAAAGAGCAATTGCGCAACGGTTAATGACCGTCGCAAGGTGGTTGCTGCATCCCTCCCAAGCACGGTTGTTTTAGGGTGCGTGAATGATAACCATATAGTTCCTGGGAACCATTTATGGCCAAAGATAGATTTTTCAGTTTCTATTCCTTGAACGAGTTTCTGAGCAGAGAAACAAGTTTGATAAGTTAAAAGAAGAGGAGGGGTGGCCGACACCAGCAACACTCTCTAGATACTAATATAAGGGTCCTGCATCCATTACGAAATGTTCATATTGAATCATTGCTATTCTGCCACCAGCAACCTATTGGTTTGAGGTCGGCAAGTAGCCCGATCAAGATGCCAGTAGTGAAAAAGTCTCTCGACCATCATCGAGCCACATAACTCACTGCCAAGGTCTTCCGTATTTGAGAATTCATCCAGCTCAATAGCACGAGACAAGTCGCCACTAGGCGAAGCATCGGGGGCCGTTCTGTTGCGGAAGCCAAGCGATCGAACAATAAATTTGACAGAATAAGAAAAGTAAATCGGACACTAGATTTACATAGTTCGGTCGTAGTGACCTACGTCCACGGGGAGAGCAGTACGGAATTCCACTATAGATTAAGCGATACAACGGAGATTACAACCACACTCGAGTCACTCAAACACTCTAAGTGTTTCCCAAGACCCAATTACACCCAATAACTCACGCAGTGTTTAGCCCCAACAATTCCTCACGAAATAATCTCTCAATCTCGCGAAGGAATTCTACACAAATCTTATCACAAGATTTAATCGCTAAAGAACACTAGCACACGAATGTAATTATCTGAACTTCGAAGCCCCACGATGGAGTCCCTCTGCACCTCTTCGCACAGCAAAGCACGCCCACTGCTCCACTATCAAGCACTCAAAACGGTGCTTCAAGCGAATCATCAACAACAGCTCTACCTTGAAAACTAACGTATAAGCTATAAATATATATATGTCCACCGCCTGAAGAAGAGCATAATACGGTCAAAGATAGCCACGCGTACTGGAGAAGGAAACTAAATCAAGTGGAATTCGGTCACCAAAAAATCCAATGTTTGACTTTTCTCTTCACTTTTCTTTTGGCCGACTCCAGCACATATTTGGAAAGTAAATTTCCAATATTTCCTTTTTGCTCAATTTCGGACGTTCGCAAAATATCAATTCAAAATATTCAGATTTTTGCTTCGGGCTCAAACTCGAGACATATTTTCAATAATCTCCACCTTGACTCGACGTTTGAGCCAATTAACAATCGCTTCGTCAGAACTTCGCTACTACTCTCCCACAACCCCAATGGGCTCAACCGCCACAGACTTCTTTCAAGTCCAAGCCTCGCTTGAACTTTGTCATAACCGTGGACCTAATCAGAACACCAACTCCACATGCATCTTTAACTGCTCCACAAGGATTTTTCGACACAACCTCCTCAACCGCAGATAAAGCAAAACCATCGTTGCATTCATATCTGTTTGAAGATCGAATACGCACCTTGTCAATATCAGCAGTTACAACAACCGTCGATTATATAGGCTCCACCTCACTACAAGCACCATCTGTGTCGATTAGTTCGCTAGTACCCACTACCTCAAGAGTTTCTAGTTGCAACTCCACCTCAAGCTGAACACCGTCCAGATCCGTATAAACACTGCTATTAACACTCCTAGCTAGAAGCACTGGAGACTTGTCAAATATAACTTCTCTACTGATAACAGGTGAATTTAATTCCGGGTACCAAAACCGATAGCCCGCTCACCTTATGCATAACCTAGGAACATGCACTTTCTTGTCCTTACATCGAGTTTACCATCACTAACTCGAACATAACATGGACAACCAAATATTCTAAGAGCAGAATAATCAGCAACGTTACCTGATCACACTTCTTCAGGAGTCTAACATCCAATCGCAGTCGATGGGGATCTATTCTTCATGTAGCTTATCGTACTAAGCGTATCTGCCAAGAATTTCCTAGCCATACCAGCACTAGAGAGCATTTTATGGGCCGTCTCTAGTAATGTTTTACTCATCAACTCTGCAACCTGTTGTGGTTCAATGGCATTAGTGCGACGTCTCACTA